AGTTGCAAATTGCGTTCTCGTCTGCTACCTACGCAGCGATATTCCGGTCGCAGCCTTCTTCCTCGGTCGCAGTCTGTGGCCTTTTTCGCCTGCTTTCGAGATTTGCGTTCCTTGTTTTTGGTTCCAGTTTGGGGGAATTGCCTCGAGTTATGTGGTGGCTGTCTCCGGGGGTTCTACTCGCGGAGCAGGCAACCTTTCTTGTTTCTTCCCTTAAGAATTTCATGATGCACATGAATCTGGAGGTGGTTATACTTTTATTAAAATACCGAGAAGAAAGAATGACAAACCCACTTTGTTTCTCACTGATGAGGAAACAAGTATATTGGCTTAAGCATGTAGATATACTCTTGTTGGGAAATTTCCGTATGGAAATCCCAAGCTTGAGATTATTAGAAAGCATTTCGATTCTCTTAAGTTCACAGGGAGTTGGAAAGTTGGTTCTCTAGATGGCCATCACGTTCTCATTCAACTCTCAAATGACGCAAACCCAACTTTTTGCTAAAAAAGTTCTCAAAATTGATAATCGCTTTATGAAAATTCTGAAATGGACAGTGGATTTTGATCCTAAATTGGAATTTCCTATTATTCCGATTTGGGTTAATTTTCCAGGGCTCAAGGTGCATCTCTTTAATTATGAAACCTTTTGTATATTGACAACTGCTTTTGGGAAATCGGTGAAGGTCGATACTCCCACGCTTGATACAACCAGGCCATCTGAAGCTTGTGTGCTTGTAGAGCGCGACATCACTCAACCCTTTCCAGGGGAGATTTGGATTGGCTCCTCTCATCAGGGTTATTGGCAGAAGATTGTGATGGGATCTCATCCCCAATACTGCTCTCATTCTGGAATGTTTGGTCATAGCTCTTCATCCTGTTATCGATTGCATCCCTATCTTCGGTCTGCTGTAGCCCCACCTCCTGTTTCTTCTGCAGAGGTTATACCCTTTTCCTCTCTGTCTGTGATACCTATTGTTATGCCCATGGTGGATACGGTGCAAAATGGTTTGTCTGTTGATATTGTTTTGGAAAATGTTGATAAGGGTCGTTTGTTGGAGGAGAGTCAGGTGGTTGCCCCTGGAAGACAGGGCGCGGTCACTGCCCCTTCTACTGGAGTGGAAATACTACCCTCTCAGGCTCTACCTACCATGGAGGGCGGTCATGCTCCCCTCTATGAAATGATTGAAGATAGGGATGAAGCGAACATTCACATTCAGATGAAGAAAAAAGTGTCTCCTAATACTAATGAGGAAGATTTAGAGCCAAATACAAACCATCTTGCTGCAATTAATCAGATGGTAGAACTACCTGTTGAGAGGGCAGGTGTTTCTCAAGTTTTGGAAGGCTGTCCTACACAAACTCAGGAATTCATCGCTGCAAATGCCTTTCCTTCTACGGATTAAACTGAACAGTCTTCAGAAGAAGAATGACAAGTTTACACTTCTCGGAGGAGGAAGAAGATTGAGGACACTGTTTAGCTTGAAAACTTAATGGATGATACTTTGGTCACTCCTGGCAATGGAACAACACTTCAGAGTTTGCTATCTGGATCCACTCCAAGAACCAGAGGAAAAGGCATGTCTAAATTGCTTCGTCCATAGACACTTGTTTTTGCATGTTTTCTTTTTTTTTTTTAGTCGTTTGTATCTTTTTATTGAGATATCTTTGTACCATGTATCGTATGAGTAGGGCATCATCTATTGAGCCCTCTCATACAACTTTTTTGTATCCTTTTTTATTTCAATATAATCTGCCTTAGGGCTTTCACAAAAAAAAAAACAAATCGCGCAATGTCTCTGCTAGGGTTTACTCCCGCCGCATCTTCATGGCGACCCGAGTAGCCCTCATTATCTCCATGCCAGATCGAAATCAAAGCCTGCTTATTCGCCGTGCTTCGCGTCTGCTCAACTTCGTTTGTTCCTTCGTTGTGCTTCGTCTGCATCGAATTCGTCTGCTCGACTCCGTTTATTTCGACTTTGTCTGCTTCGACTTTGCCTGCTTTGGTCCTCGACTTCGCGACTTTGTCTGCCTCGAAGACTTCAAGTTTTTGTCTTCTCTGACATCATCTGTCTGTTTCCTTGTGATTCGACTGCTTCAACTGTTCCCTTTCGTTTATGTTCTCTGCTGCTTTGTTTTGTTGGCTTCGGCTTTTTTCCTAAAGTCGCGCCTTCGTGATGGCCCCAGATCGAACGTACTCTACTACACTTGCGGTTAATCTCGCCTCAGGTTTAGAGCTTGGTTTTGGTATCGGTAAGTCATGCAATGTTCCACAATCCTTTCACGAGGCTCTTGAAGGTGATGGTGATCATACTTTCATCAAAACGCTTGAGAAAAAAATTGGAAACCTGATTTTTTCTCTCTAAAGTTGAAACCAGTACTCTTGCATTTTCTTGGCGTTATGCTCTAGTGGGGAAATTCCTTTATGGGCACCAAAACTTGAGATCATTCAGAAAGATTTTGATACTATGAAGCTATTGGGTAGTTGGAATAATGACTTACTTGACGACCGACATATACTTATCTAGTTATCTCACGATGCGGATTACATTCGTATTTTTTTTCATAAGGTAATCAAAAGCGGACTGTCAATTTTGATCCAAAAGCGGAGTCTCTTGTCATTTATGTTTGGATAAAGTTTTCGGGGTTAAAAATACATATGTTCAACTTGGAAATTTTCTACTCCTTAGCAACTGCTTACGGTAAGCATCTCAAGGTTGATAGTCCTACGCTCCTACGCTTGCTGTCACCATTGATAGTCCTACGCTTGCTGTCACCAGACCCTCTATGGCTTGTGTGTTAGTTGAGAGAAATATCGGATGAGGTATGGATTATGAGGTATGGATTAGAACCACTCATAACGAGTATTGCAAAAGGTTGAAATAGAACTACACCCTTCTTATTGTTCTCATTGTAATATGTTTGGCCACAATTCTACTATTTGCTATCGCTTGCATCCTCATCTGAGACCGGATATTGCTAAAGATCATCAACCTGTTCAAAAATCTATTCATACTGAATTTAGGGTGGACGCCTTGCCACCTATCATCCTTGCTGAGAAGGTGCAACCCGACCCTCTTTCCAACACCGCATATACCTCTGCTCATCTTACTGATACTGTTCTTAATGAAGAACATCATACTCAAGTCATTCTACCCCTGGAAGCTCCTATTTTCGAATACTCTATTCCAGCTGCTGGTTTGGAGCATGGTACTTTGGAGCTTCATGAAACATCTCCCCATATTACAAGTAATGATCCAAACATGTCTATACCACTTATTGTTATTGAAGAAGACTCATTTACATGTTAAGGCACACGAGAGTGCTCCTTTGATCCAATAAAAGATCAACTGGTATAACAAGTAGTTGCTTCCAATGTTCAATAACCTACTCATGTACGACACAGTTTTGACCAATCCACTGATTAGATAAGTCAGTTTTCGGATGAGGAATGACAGGTCTATTTCAGGAGGAAGAAGAAGAATGGAGGCCGACTCGAGCTCAGGAACTTGTTGGACGATACATTAGTTACCACTGACAATGTCACTCTTCTTACCAGTTTGTTAGCCGGCTCCTTTCCTAGAACTAAAGACAGAGATAAGGCAAAATTGGGACGCTCTCTAACTACCTTATACTACTTGTTTTGGCACTTTTAGTTTTTAGGCTCTCATGTATTTTTTTGTATTTTCTTTTCTTAGAACCATTTACATGTGGTGTTTATCGTGTGGATAAGGTGTCATGCTTGTGTCTTCTCATACAGTCTATCTGTATCTTTCTTTCTTTTTAATATATTAGCCCTTGGGCTTTCTCATATATATATATATATATATATATATATATATATGTAAAATAATAATAATATAATAAAAATTTTTGAATAGAAAAATAAGCATAATAAAATAATGGAAATTTAATTTAATGCTTAATTAATAATGAAATTTAATTGTTAGAATAATAAATAAATTTAATTTTATATCATGTTTATGTTAGGATTTCACTTTAGAATAGTCGACGTCGAGGCAAAGAACAAATTAGTCAGCAACAAGGTGAGTACGTATACTTTAAATTATAAGTAACTTTGATTTTATCCTAAGTTGGATTTGCTCTAAGACTTTATTAGGTAGATCTTATTGGCTCTTCAATTTCATTTTCATCATATTGAGTGTATGTCACTGATATTGACGTGTTATTTAAATGCATATTACATATTATTGAATAATATGATAAGAATGAGATTTACTATTTTAAATGCTTGTATGTGCATATTTTGCTATGATGGAATACCTCCTTGATTGTCCTAGTGGGGGAACACTAATATACCTGTGCATGTAAATGAAAATGAATATTGATATTGATGTATCTTAATTGACACAATTTCTAAATGATACCTCCTGCGATGGTTGTATAAGTATGAAATGATATTAATATAATAATGATACAAATTCTTTTTAAATAGCATGTCAAATGTTTATATTGATTTATAAAGATAATTAACTGACATGAATATTGTTATTTCTTTTTCTTGTAATGTTGTAGTTTAGAAGTATTAGTATTCATTGACTTGTTAACTCATTATTATGTTAATCTAACTTTTTAGGTAAAGTTTATGAGATTAAGGGAAAACGTTTATAGAAAACGAGGACAATCATCAACGAGGTAATTTTAATTAATTTATTTATTTTAAATTGTTTAGTGACTCTTTCATCTATTAAACTATAGATGAATATAGAAAATTTATTTCACAACGTTCGACTATGTGTACCCATCTTGGTTAATTCCAAACTCTAGGCCGGGTCGTGACAAATTCAACTAATAATGTCACACATAATTCTTGCTTTAGTTCTACATAGGGCACCATGTACCTTTTTTATTCTCTGTGATCTAGATCTTATAATAGAAATGCAAATTCATTTTGTGTTCTACTATGTAAATTCGTTCTGTGTTCTGCTGCTTGTCGAGTTCAATATTTTCATCCACTTATATCATCTGGAATATTTTGACTGCAGGAGGTTGTGATGGGTCCTGAAAACAGAACAGTACTGTCAAAAGACAACTTTCTAAGAGTTAACCTTGTTGGTGATTTTGTTGGTTATACAAGCATCCCGTCCTTTGAAGACTTTTACCTTGTTACACCAAGATTAGTATGTTGATCACTTTTGATTCGTTAGTTTGTAAATTATTTTTAAAGTCAATTTACCACTTTTTGTCATATTATGAAATTTCTGTTTTAACTTTTGTAGCCATTTGCTTCATCTTTCAATAAGAGTGCAATATACTTTACAGATCTTTTCCTCTATCTATCTCAATGAGATTTTCAGCTTTTCTTTTCCTGATATGCACTAATCTATTTTGAAGAATTTTTATGATTTGTTCTGTAGCTGCTCAGAATATCGCTGCTATGAGTATATGCTTAACAAAGTAAAATGAAGCATTCTATAGATAAAAGAAAGCAGCGATCCTTCTTTTTTTCTTCTCATTTTTGTTTTAAGTTTCAGAGTACATAAGGAAATATTGTGGAGCCTGATCATGCATTTGTGTAATGTAAAACAGGATGTTTAGTGTATTGCTTCTTGATGATAAGCATTTTCCATATTCATGCTAATTTTGTAGGACAAAAAATGTTTTGATCTTTCTATGTCATATTCAGGCTTAAAATTTATTCTGGTAAAGGGTGCTGCAGGTCATCCAGAAAATCTTGGGAAAAACTTCTCAAAGTGGATGCTACTAGAGAGAGTGCGTTTTACTTTTGATGGTCTTGAATGCAACAAAATTGGTATTGGTTATGAAGCATACAGAAGCCAGCCAAACTTTTGCTCATCGCCATTATGGAGTTGCTTGCATAATCAACTGTGGCATTTTTGGGAAGTTAGTATTCGGAAGTCTTTTTTCTTTATCAACTTGTAAATTACTGCCATTTAATTTCTTCTTTATGTACATGTTTCAGTTAATTTTAGCATTTATTTGTGATACTAAGAAAATTTCCGTAAGTTTTAGATATAAGAGTATGTCATACTTTGCTAGGAGGATTGTTTTTCTCAAACGAATTTAGATTTTGATACCGGAGAAGGAAACTCAAACCACAAAAGAAACACAAATATTATTATTGAAGTTGAAATTGAAATTAGTTACAACAAATTTCATGAGTGGTGGCTGGACAGCGGCAGAGCAGGTTGGTTGGAAGCTGTGGCCACAGGAGTAGAGGGTGGAAGTTTTGGGCAGTGCTGCAGGAAGATAGGAATGAGGATATGGCGGCAGTTGGGGATTCCTGTAGGGAATGGCAGCAGCTGGCTGGACGTGGAGATACGGGTTGAGGGGAAGGCTTGATATGGTTGCTGGAAGCGGGAGGACGGTAGGCTTTGAGGTTCACGGCAGCAAGCGTCAAGACAGTAGGGATGCACGGGAAGGAGTGGCAGGGTGGAAGGTATTGCTGGAAGGGTGGAGTTGTGGTATTGCTGGGAAGATGGACTGCGGTTGGCGGACTGCAGGAAAAATCCCTGCTGGGTGATGGCAGCAGGAACAGCGGTGCAGGAAACTGCCCAGAGGGTGCTGTCTTGCAGTTGCAGTGGGGGGATGGATGGTGGTAGTGAAGGGAGGGTTGCGGTGGAGAGGGGAGTCGAGGATAAACACCACTGGAGGAAAGGGATATAGCCGGAGTACCAGCCTATCCATCGGATACAGCCCTTGAAAGGCAAACCAGGATGGCGGCGGCTGTCCTCACAAGCTGAAATTAGAAAATAACTTAAGCTCACAAGCTGAAATTAGAAAATAACTTAAGCTGAAACCCTAAGACCTAAAAACACATATAAATAGCAGAGGGATGGCAGGAAATGTTGGGGGGTTCAGCTTTTAGAGGGAACCCCGTGTCAGATTCTCTATTGTTTATTATCTTTGACTGATTATGATTCCCATGTTACACCTTTCCATTGATTATTCACTTCGGTGAGATGCATTCTAGTTTTTGTAGTACATGTTTAACAAAAATATGTTTTGGTATCACAAAAAACATAGTTTTCTACCCAAAATTTTAAAATTCTACTTCACCATTTTCAGATTTTTTTTTGTTTTTGTTTTTTTTTAAATAATGTTGTAAGACTTGTTTTTTTTTGTGTAATGTTTGGCTGTGGCGAAATTCATTTGTGTTCAATTGTTTGTATGTATTTAGTCATTCTTGTTTAAGAACTTAGTCTTTAAACTTATAGTTTGTGCTGAGTTATGGATGATAAATTTATCAACAACTGGTTTAAAATTCAAAGTAGATATCTTAAAAGGCTTGGATAAGATTTCTGTAAAATTTGGAAGATTTGAAGTTTTAAAAATGATTTTGGTTTGAACAGATTTGGTAAATAAATTGTTATCCTCTATTAGCTAAATTCAAGCTAGGAAAATCTTAACATATATGTTTAATATCTACATTGTGAAATTCTCTATAGAAGAAGCTTGTATATTCTTGCAAGGGATTATGTCACGAGGCCCAGGAGCTTGCAATATCATGGTAGGAACAAATTAACAAATAGAGAAATTTCTAACATTTTAAACATTTTTCCTACTTGGATAAAAATTTGAATAAATATTCTTAAAATATTCCATAATATAAAAGTGCCAACTATTCATTTAAACAAATCCATTCAAATTTACATTTTTTTACAACTGTTATAAAAGTAAAAATTTAATTACTTTACCCATCTTTTGAAAGCCGATCCCTAATGTAATCGAATCATCAGATGGTCGATGTTTAATGTGACCAAACCATCTAAGAAGACTCTCTCTAGTTTTGTTTGTCACTGGAGCTACACCAACCCTATCACGAAGATATTCATTTTGCATTTTGTCTCTAAGTGTAAAGCCACTCATCCACCTAATCATTCTCATCTCGACAACACTTAACTTGATATTATGCTTCTCTTTTAAAGGCCAACATTCAGCACCATAGAGCATTTTAGGTTTCACCACCATCTTATAAAATTTTCCTTTCAATCTAAGCGATACTTTCTTATCACACAAAGCCCGAAAATTCCTCCACTTCAACCAATCAACTTGAATTCTACTATTAACATCTCTATCTATATCCCCATCGCTTTGAACAACAGACCCAAGATATCTAAATCGTTCACACCTTTTAATAATTTGATCACCCAAAGCTACACTTCTGTCACTAGAGCGACTATTACTAAAATTACATTCCATGTATTCAATTTTAGTTCTGCTCAAATGAAGGCCTTTAAACTCCAATGTAGACCTCCATAATTCAAGTTTTTTCTAAGATTTTTCTCTCGTCTTATCCATGAGAAGGAATCATCAGCAAAAAACATACACCAAGGTACATCCTCCTGTAAATGTCCAATAAGACCATCCTAACTAAAGCAAAAATATATGGGCTTAAAGCCGATCCCTGATGTAATCCAACAGAAATAGGAAAAAAATTAGTCAATCCTCCTTCAGTTCAAACACAAGTAACAACTCTAGTATACATATCCTTAATGACTTGAATATGTTATATCAATACTTTTTTCTCAAGAACTCTCCAAAGGATATCTCTTGGATTTTATTGTAAGATTTTTCTAAATCAATAAAAATCAAATGTAGATCCTCCTTATTATCTCTAAACTTCTCCATTAAACCTCTCAATAAATGTATAGCTCAATAAATGTATAAATGTATAGCTTTCATTGTAGACCTGCCCAACATAAATCTAAATTTATTATGAGAAATATTTGTAGTACGTCTTAACCTATGTTCAATTACCCTCTCCCATAATTTTAACGTATGACTCATCAACTTAATTCCTCTATAATTTGCACACACTTGTGCATCCCCTTTATTCCTAAGAATGGGGCCCAAAATACTCTTCCTCCACTCCTCAGACATCTTCTTAGTTTTTAAAATAATATTAAAGAGTTTAGTAAGCCAAGAAACTCCCACTTCTCTTAAAACTTTCCACACTTCAATTGGGACATCATGAGATCCTACAGACTTTCCTCTCTTGGTTTTCTTTAAAGTCTCCTCAACTTTTTTTTACTAATGTGACTCAATGTTGGGTACTTAAATCCTCACTTGGAATGACCTTATAATCTTTATAATATCGACGATCTCTTCTTCTCATAAGAAAATAATTAATTTGTGTTTTATTAGATCCATTCTTATAAGTAATAAGATGCTCTTTTTTTTTATTAAATAAAGTATTAGTAATAATAAAATCATACGTTAAAGCAAAATCTAAAATGATTCTATCTTCTTTATTAATCACTCCAAAATCGTAGCCACCATGAATATCATTTAACACTCCTCCAATAAAAATTCTTTCTTTAAAATGTATCATTGTGTCTAATTAAATATACTTCAATAAAAATTCTTTCTTCAAGAGATATCATTTGTATGAAATCTTCTAAACCTACTTGAGGAGCATAAGCACTTATAATATTAAAAATCTTTGTATCAATAATAATTTTAAGGGCTATAATTCTATCTCCAACTCTATTAATTTTTACAATGTTATCTTTCAAACTTTTATCTATAATTACACCTACACTATTTCTAGTGCGATTGTTACCATAATACCAAAGTTTAAAATCCAAGTTATCAATCTCCTTAGTCTTTTCTCCAACGCATTTAGTTTCTTAAATACATAAGATATTAATCTTTTTATGCATCATAATATCAACTAATCCATTAATTTACCATTAAGAGTACCTATATTCCAATATCTTATCATAATATTAGTTTTTTTAGTTTCATGGACCGACTTCTTTACCCGCATTCATTCGTAATGTGAAAACCTTGCTTATTTGACACTACACCTGAGCGTCGGTGTAATGGCTCTTGCGCACTTTTCTCTGTATTCAGGTCATACATTGTGCCGTTTCCAGGAGACGCCCTTACACTTGCACAATGTTCAAAATGATTCATGTCTAATGCAACTCTCCACTTTTCACATTTGGGATTGGGACCGACAATGACAGTGTTAAATATATTTGTTTATACACATATATTACTTTAATGTATATATGGCTTTGACACAATTAAATAGTTTTATTTTAACTTAAAACTTAAGATATTATAATTCTTATAATGTGGTCACCTTATTATTTGTTACATTTATAAAATATAAATTTTAGATTTTCATAATATTAAATGTTATTAAATAAATCTTAGCATTTCAATCATGTAAGCCTATCCTTTCTTTTGAAGCATGCTAAATTTTATTTAATCATGTACATTATTCGCTAGGGTTCGCCTATGGAGATCCCTGAATTTTTTTATTCACTGCATGTTCGTAGAACTGTCTCGTCTTCGTCCTTTTCGTCTTCTTCGCCAGTATTTCTACAGCGGCCTGTTTCGTCGTCCCGCTTCGGCTCTCTCGACATGTCGTCTGGCTAGGTGTCGTCGGGTTTCATCGTCCCGATACAACGGCTCTCACTTGCTGCGACTTTTGAGGCTCGCTGCGGCTCTCACTCGTTGCGGGCTTCTGCGGCTCGTCGTCGTCCCAAGAAGTCGCGCTCGGGGCGTCTCTTACCTGTCGCTATCTGTTTCTTTCCGTCTGCAGCACAACACACAGAGGGGCTTTCCTCCGCTCCTTGCTCCCTGTTTGGTTTCATAATTTGCTCTCTACACATCCATCTTTCGGGATGGCTTCGGATAGATCGTATGCTGCTGCCCTTGCGGGTGCCCAAGCCTCAGGTACACCTAAATCGTGTTCTTTTACTCCTTCGTTTGAGTGGGAGGAGGACATCAAGAAACCTGGTAGGAAGAATGGGAAACCTGCCATCTTTTTTACAGAAGCTGAAAGTATTCAACTTGCTTCCTCCTGTCGTCTGAATTTGGTCGGAAAATTTTTGTATGGCCATTTCAAAATAGAGCTGATTCATAAGGAATTTGAGCTTATGCATCTTGTTGGGGAGTGAAAAATTGAACTTTTAGATGAAAGACACACTCTTATTCAACTTAATAGTGACGAGGATTACACGCGTTTATTTGCTAGAAGAATTATTTTGATTGATAACAGAGCAATGAAAATTCTGAAATGATCTATGGATTTTGATGGATTTTGACCCACAGACGATTTTGACCCACAGACGGAACCACCAATCATTCCGGTTTGGATTTGTCTCCCTGGTTTGAAATTTCATTATTTCACACAAAAAATGTTGTAATCTATTGCCTCAGCTTATGGTAAGCCACTTAAAATGAACATTCCTATTTTTAATCTTTCCCGCCCATCTGAAGCCAGAGTACTTGTTGAAAGAGACATCACTTTATCTGTTTCTGAGGAGATTTGGTTGGGCACACAACACCATGGATATTGGCAAAAGGTAGTGATTGAACATTTTCCTTCGTATTTTCAAACTGTCGTATGTTCGGCCACTCCAGTTCTCAATGCTACTATCTACACCCCCAACTCAGACTAAAAAAGCAAAGCGCTCCGCCAGAGGCAGATAAGCCAGATCCTCCTGTTTAGCCCCAAGTTATTGACACTATTGATCATCAAAAGGATACTCCTGAAGATGTCACTATCCTCATAGGCAATATGTCAACCATTCAGTCTTCACATAATGTCGTTGCTCTCCCATCTTTGGAACCCCTATCGTAGGGGCGAGGGAGATTCTTCAGACCCCACCTGCTCTAGAACCTATCATTGATATTGCAGTTGACAATACTTCTACTGTTTCGCTACCGCCTCATTAAGTCGAGCAAAATGTTAATGTTACACAGGCTCATGGGATCATGATGTGCACCAGCCTACACCTGCCCGACCACCTTTGGAACAATCCATTAATCAGATAGTCAATCCTCGGATGAGGAATGACATGTCTACACATCCAGGAGGAAGAAGAAGAATGGAGAACTACTTGAGCTTAGGAATCGGATGGACAATATTTTGGTTACTTCGGGTAATGATACACACCTTACCAATCTGTTAGCTGGGTCCTTCTCGAGAACTAGAGGCAGAGGGAGGACTAAAGTGAGACGTCCCTAGTACTTTTGCGCCCGTTAGTGGCTTTTTAGTTTTTAATCCTTTTGTATCTTTGCTTTATTTGAAATTGTGTGTGTTGTATTGTGTGAGTTGGGTCTTCTTTTAGGCCCTCTAATTCAACATGTATGTATCTTTTCCTCTTTAATATATTAGCCCTCGAGCTTTTCCTAAAAAAAAATATACATTATTCGCTTATATATATATATATATCTATATATCTATATATCTGTTTTTGTGTGTGATTAAGTTGCTTCCAGATTGGTTTTTACATCATCTTGCCACCTATTTGTAGAAAAATAAGAGTGAGTCATGCCTATCCACAAATGTAGTTAAATGCTTGGAAATTCTTATCCAAAGTTTTTTATAGATATTCAAATTGTGCGTAATTATCTTAAATGAAGGGATTAGTCCTTTGGATTTCTCATTGTATGAGGGTTGATCGAAAATCAAAAGGTGAAGAAAACTAGAGAGGGAATGGCCTACCAATGGTGTCGAGAAAAATGAAACTTATGTTTGTAATTGTTTGTTGATGATCGAATATAAATGATGATGTAAGATTGCTAAAAATAAGATTCATTCTTCTCCGAAGTATAATTATGTACGGTAGGGTAATAAGAAGTGGAATAAGGTTTAAGAGATTTCTCCTTGAGAGGAGAAGATTTAAGAGTAGAAAAGAAGATAGTTGAGCCTTTTATTTATCATTCAGCTAACGTGCATACAACTAGGAATTTATATTAATAGACATAGTGATACATATCAATCATTTAAATTTGATCTTTTGGAATACTAAAAAAATTAAATTCAAACACAGGATTATTCAAAAGTATAAACAATTTAGTTTCATTCAAAGTTGTGAAAACATCCCAAACTTCTGCCTCCTGGATACACAACACTTTCTTTGCCTCGACCTTCACTCTCTTGAACCCAGAACAATTTCTCTGACTCCATCCCTACCTCTTATACAAATGGTAGCCTCCCTTTCCCTCAACCTCATGAATTTATGGGATTCTTGTTACCATCTCACCTATCCACGTGAGCTACCCACTTGTACAATAAAGCGTCAGTGAGCTGTACTATTGGAATTAGTTATGTAGCTATTTTTGGTTCCCTGATTTTTGTAGATTATCTATTAGAAACTTTTCTAAGAATGTATAAATTTCACACAAATGTTGTAATAAACTCCCTCAACTGTTCTCCAATTGGTCTCCAATTCTTGTCTGCCTCTCCATGCATGTTTTTGTCATACAAAAGTTACCAATATGATTCTTTTATCTTGCAGGCTGACCAGAACAGGATAAGCAGGAACCAACCACCTCAATATGTGATTGAGGGAAGATTTGAAAGGATAAACCAACATCCAGTATGTCATTGTTGTTGTTTTTCTTTTTAACATCAATAGTTATTATTCTATGAAGTATTATTTTTACCATGATTGTATAGAATGCAGGAACACATTCATTTTCTGTGGGAATATCTGAAGTCCTCAACACAAATTTGTTGATTGAGTTGAGTGCTGATGATATCGAGTATGTATATCAAAGGTATGACGTGCTCTCATCATATATGTACTGCTTTTCCTAAAGCTTTGAATGTTGAGTTGTTCATACCACATAAAAAGTAGGATATATACCACATGACTAGTCATTCTGGAGTAAATTTTGTGGCACTGTAACATTTTTACTGCAAAAATGCCATAACCGTAAACAGAATGCCTTGATTTTGGAGAAGTATTAACTCTTTGTTGATGCAAACTTCGTCAATCTTGAGTTACATTTGTCACTGGATATCTGCTCATCTCCACCAGGATTTTCTTGATGGAAACTAATAGTATTCATCCTTTCCTTGTGATAATCTTTCTTTGGATTCTTTTAGTGATGTTTGTTTTAATTATGCTAATATGAAGAATCTAAAATCTGTTTCATTTTTGAAGACCCTTTTAATGATTGAGTATTGCTAGCACTTCTTTATCTTTTGAGGTCCGTGTGCATAGCTTTGCATGGTTCATGCTACTTTTTTGAAGTTTTTCTCATACTTAAATTTTGAGGAAAGCTAATGATTTGTGGCCTTTGCTTCTTGGTTTGTTTACCATGCATTTATTTTCATGTGCTGGCTATTGCACTGTGGAAACATGTGAAATCTTTTAGTGGGCCCCCATGGGCAGCTAAGCAATTCTGTTTGCTTGTAATTTCTTGGTGCCTTTTTAATCTCATAAATCTTTTTTTTAATGCTCCTCATAATTCCCTTTCTACAGTGACTTTTGCTACATTTTATGTGATTTATATGATTCTTTTTGGTGAAAATTCATTGTTCTTTCTGTTCATTTTTTGGGAACTTATGAAGCAAGTGTCCAGTTCACATCATGTGCTTCACACATGAGCAAGCATTGAGCTAAATTTTTTTTATATTTATATAAACAATCTATTTAAATTGCTAAATCATATAAGGAGAGAATGAACTCATGATTAAAAGGAATTACGTTTATACTTATGAGAGATTTCACAGTCTAAATAGTACTGTCACTTGCCAATTTTTACTGTCATTTTTAAGTTAAATATTTTGTATGAACAATTGTACAACAAACCTGGTATATTAATGGGAATGCCAAGTGCACGGAGATACATCAATGTCTCATTCATTTGGAGAAAATTGCAAGCATATCAGAAGAGTTTATGCATATACAATTTTAAATGTGTCAGCATGGGAGTGTAATTTCCGATCATGGTTCTATGCAATAAATTAATGAACCATATCGACCGTCATAGCACTTCCCCAAGGACTTTCTTGAATGTATCTAGCATGTTTACTAGATATGCAGATATGCTTCATATTTTGCTTGGGGCTAAACTTCAAAATAATCCCCCAAAAAATTATGTAGCTAGTGTAATCCCAAAGTTTCATATTTTTTTTAATTCATTCTTTTGACTATATAAAATTGATCCAAAAATGATCCCATAAGAATTAAATTAGGATAATTTTGTATAATTGTGGGGCTAAAATGTGATTACTTTTGTGTCACTATTTTTACATGAGGGCTAATTTTGAATCATTTTTATAAGTGGAGAGATTAAATTGAAGAAACATAATATATGGGGACTAAACTGGCCGCACATGAATAGCCAGAGGGCCTATTTTGAGATTTAATTTTTTTTTCTTCTTGTAGAAATAAAGTTAAAGAGAAGAAAAAAACGTTTATAATATGTCTTTATTACTAATTTGAATTAAGCTTTCATTTATTTATTTAGAAGGAGAGTTATTTTTTTCAATATGATTTTAGGTTGTTTCTTGATATCTGTTGAGATGATAAAAGCCCATCACTAGCATTCTTGGCATAATCATTTTTTTATGCGAAAGGATTATCAAGTTTATAATTTAATGAGAGATAATTTATCACTAATAAAAAGGAAATGTCAAAATTTTGAATAGCTGTCAAAGTATTATGATCACCTAAAAACATATCATCTTCATTTTAGCGAACATATCAAACTCTAAATAAGGAGAATATAATCTTATATAGATTTCACCTTTTTTTTTTTTGAGATCTTATAGTTATGATAGCCACATTAAAAAAAACAAGAACTCCAAATAAACTTTCAATATATCTTGGGGAACTAACAGAGTAAATATTTTTGCTAAATAAGACCGACAACATTATGAAATCTCTTATTCTTGAAAGAATAGTTACCGTAGATTTACAATATATTTGATACCTTTTAAGATATTAAACTAATGTATTTTTTGTCAATTTTAGTAGAGAATGAAATCTTGTTCATTGGAATCTGTAATTCAAAACTAAAATTGATTAAATATGAAACATGGATGCAAAATAATGTTTTTCTGTATCACATTTCTATCCATTGGAGTTCCCAACAAATCTTTATTGAAGGAAATGTTTAGGAAACTGGGAACAAATGGTTCAACTAGTTTAAAGTTTCAAATACAAATTGATAGAATTCCATTCCTATATATCACATAAACTTATTTCAAGATGAATTGCCTAAAAAATTAATTCAGCCGTATTTCAATTGAAAAGATTCATCCTAACAATGTGCTCTCATTTTCATTGCCATCAAAATTCTTCCACAACAACAATAACAACAACAAGCCTTTATCCCACTAATTAAGTCGGCTACATGAATCCTTTTTCTCCATTGCATCCTATTGAATGTCATATTTTTATTTATTTCTAATAATTTATACAATATGTCCAAGTCTTTCTAGGTTTATCCTAATTTTCTTAACATAAGTTGAATCTAAAACATCTACTCTCTTAATTGGATCATCAGATGGTCTACGTTTAATGCGACCAAACCATCTAAGACGACTCTCTAATTTTGTCTGCCACAAGAGCTACACCAACCCTATCATGGATATATTCATTTCAAATTTTGTCTTTAAGTGTAAAGACACTCATCCATCTAAGCATTCTCATCTCAGAAACACTTAATTTTATGATTCTCTTTTAATGGCCAACATTCTGCGCCATAGAGCATTGCACACCACCATCTTATAAAATTTTCCTTTCAGTCTAAGCGGTACTTTTCTATCACACAATAGGCCCGAAGCATTCCTTCACTTCAACCTTCAACTTCACTTCAACCAACCAACTTGAATTCTACTAATAACATCCTCATCTATATCACTATTACTTTGAACAATAGATCTGAGATATCTAAAGCATTTACCCATTTTAATAATTTGATCCCTCATAGTTACAACTCTGTCATTACTATTAAAATTACATTACATGTATTCAGTTTTAGTTCTACTGAAACGAAGGCCTTTAGACTTCAATATAGACCTCCATAGTTTAAGTTTTTCCTCACCTCCTTCTCTAGTCTTATCCACAAGAAGGATATCATCAGCGAAAAGCATACACCAAGGTACATCCTCCTGCAAATGTCCAGTAAGAGCATCCAAAACTAAAGTAAAAAGATATGGGCTTAAAGTCGATCCTTGATGTAATCCATCTGAAATAGGGAAATATTTGGCCAATCCTCCTGTTCAAACACAAGTTTAGTATACACATCTTTAATGACTTGAATACAAGTCATATCAACGTATTTCTTCTCTAGAACTTTCCAAAGGATTTTTTCTTGGAATCTTATTGTAAGTTTTTTCTAAATCAATAAGAATTATATGTAGATCTTCCTTAGTCACTCTGTACTTCTCCATCAAACCTCTCAATAAATGTATAGCTTCCATAATAGACCTCCGACATAAATCCAAACTGATTATGAGAAATTTTTGTAATACGACTTAATCTATTTTCAATTAGTCTTTCTCATAATTTTAAAGTATGACACATCAACTTAATTCCTCTATAATTTGCACACTCTTGTGCGTCCCCTTTATTCTTAAAAATGGGACCGAAATATTCTTCCTCCATTTCTTAGGCATGTTTTTAGCTTTTAAAAGAATATTAAAAAGTTTAGTAAGCCAAAAAACTCCCAAACCTTCTAAATATTTTCACACTTCAATTGGAATATCATCTGGTTCTACAGACTTTTAACCCTTGGTTTTCTTTAAAGCCTCTCAAATCTCCTAAATTATTTATTATTATTGGAGATATTAAGATTACTACAGTCGATCGTATTTTTCAGAAACTTCATTGAAAATGTTATCAAAATAACTTACCCATCTATGTTGAATATCTTTTTCTAAGAAAAACTTCTTTTGATTTTCATCTTTAATACACTTTACTTGAGTTAAATCCTTACTTTTCTTTCTCTTCATTTGACTATTTTATACATATATTTTTCATCATCTTTAGTATCTACTCTATTATAAAGTCACTAAAAACATAATTTTTTAGCTTAAACTAATTTTTTATCTTTTCTTGCACATTTTTATTCCACCACCAATTATTTTTATTAATAAAAACTTTTTTTTTTGGTTTTTCAAGTACATCTTTTGCCATTTGTTTAATAGTATTTTTTTACTTTATTTCATATAGAATTTGCTTCTTCATGAGCATCCCAAGTCTCAAAATATTGATGTTTATTTATAAAAATAATTTTATTGTCTTTTATATGCCCCCATCTAGTTCTATGATAATGGTTTCTAGTATTCTTTATTTTAAAATCTAGAACTAATAATCGATGTTAGGCATTTAAATTCTCACTAGGAATGACTTTGCAATCTTTACATTCTCAACGATCACTTCTTCTCATAAGAAAATAATCAATTTGTGTTTTATTAGATTTATTCTTTTAAATAATAATATGCTATCTCTTTTCTTGAATAAAGTATTATCAATAATAAAATCATACGTTAAAGCAAAATCTAATGTGGCTCTACCTTCTTCATTAATCACTCCAAAACGTAGCTGCCATGCATATTTCTAAAATGTTCTACCACTCTACCGACATGTCCATTTAATTCTTCTCTAATAAAAATTCTTTCTTTAAGTGGTATCATTTGTACTAAATCTTCTAGACCATTCCGTAATTTTTCCTTGAAACTTATATCTAAGCCTACTTGAGGAGCATACACACTTATAATATTGAAAATCTTAGTATCAACAACAATATTAAGGGCTATA